AGTAGTCGAGACTATCAGAGTAGTAGAGAGAGAGACACTAAACACTTTCCCAGAGAATGTGTTTCTAATTTCTACTTCTATTTTCTGTGTGTGTTTTTTGTTTTGAAAACAAAAACATAAGTTCGTTTCAAGAAAATTATTCATAGTTTGTATCACAGCAAATCGAACTGCTGAGACGAACGCTAATTAAATACCTACAAGCTGGTAGTGTAAAAATCGGAATTTTAAGTAAATGACATTATTTTGTTTTGTTTTAAATTAAAAAGTAAGTTTCAAATAATTCATCTAATATAATATCGTGTAGTTTTTGCGACAAAAACCAATATTTTTATTTACGATATAAACAAAATTATTAAATGTATATTATAAAGTTCAAGTGTGTACTAAATGTCAAGTTTTTGATTATGAAGTGAACTGAAGCCGCACGTGTTAATGTATTGTTGGCCCGGTGTGTACTGACTTTTTTCAAATGTACAATATATAATTGTAGTGGTACGGAAAAACCGGTCCTCCTTCTCAAGTGTGACGGCAGAGGTACGTGTGAACTTCAACTTTATGACCCATTCGAATTAGCAGGCTTCGTAATATATTCATAGGAAAGGCATCTACTCGCGTCTTGTGAATAGCCTAGTTTTTTTACCATGTCTTCAGTAGCAGATTGTTGGGGCCGTGTCTGTTCCACTTTAGTGATCAGATTGTGTTCCATGAGATCAGGAAGTGATATACTATTATTTACATCCGCTTTCTCCGCGACGCTAGAAATCATGATCTTCTGCTGTAAACTATCGAGTACATCTTCAGATCAATAGCGTAGCAATAAGTGTCAGTCCTGTGCGTTGCATCACACCTTGCGACCTGAGCACTGTCAGCCAACACTCAGCCATCGCCTCCCAGAGAAGTTCATAGCCGCAATATAAACCCGAGTCATATTCACTTTTTAAAATTACTTATTGCACCACATATATCAGTCTACTAACATCTATCAATTCTACGCATCCGTCTCTTGCAGTTTAACCACTGTCCCCCGAACACTCGATCACCATGTCCAAGAAAAGAGCTTCCAAAACCAATGTCAGCGAGAACATCTCTCTAGGCCCTGTTGTGCCTGAGGGCCAGAATGTGTTCGGTGTATGCCACATCTTCGCCTCTTTCAACGACACCTTCGTGCACGTCACTGACTTGTCCGGTCGCGAGACTTTCGTCCGTGTTACCGGTGGCATGAAAGTGAAGGTAAGTGCGTTCATTTAGTGTACAACTTAAAAATTAGGATATGCATATAATGTGAGTAGTTGTGCGGTTCAGCTGCGGGCGCGTTCCAGGAATGGAAGACTCTGTACGAGACCACAGCTATCAAATGTATCTTTGACCTGATTTTTGATGTCAAGTTACTTTGTAAATTTCATCAAGTGTGGCGTGGTTTTGCGCCATATAATCCCATAGTATATATAAGCAAGGTGTGCGTGTATAGTTGTATATGAGTTTATTCTCGTCATTTTATGTGATAGTGAGTTTTGGTCAATGAACGTGCGCAGTCGTACAAATTTTTTTTACGCTTTATACATATTTATTCAATTCTGCACATATAGCCCTCCAGTTGTGTTGCAAACAAATTATTTGGGACAAGGCTTTTTGTGTCGTAATAACCCAACCATTCAGAGAGTAGTTGGTAGATTTTAAATCCATATGTATGCGTTTATCCAAAGATTGCTTTCTGTATTTTTTTTAGCCTAGGCCTTGCTAAGTCCTGTGCCTTTGCGATTTCTATTTATTATGCCAAACACGAAAAATGATTCAAGTAGTTGAGGAGTTTATCCCCTTTTCGTATATATATTGTAATTTTGTTTGCGGGTGCGTATGAACACGGTTTGAATGATGAATCATTATGCTATTAACCCAGCTCATTATGAAAAATCAATGATCATAAATTCTTTCTGAACCAAAGCGTTTCGTATGTATTGACCGGTCTTCATCTGTATATTGTCTGTGTTGTAAAATATATACATGTCCGTTATTCATGTGCATATTTATCCACAAGTTGTTCTCGTCCTACTACATACATACTTGTGAACTCTTTGCCCAACTCTCTACCCAGGCCGATCGTGACGAGTCCTCTCCCTACGCCGCCATGTTGGCAGCTCAGGATGTAGCCGTACGCTGCAAGGAACTCGGAGTCACTGCACTGCACATCAAGCTGCGTGCGACTGGTGGTAACCGAACCAAGACCCCAGGACCCGGAGCTCAGCAGGCGCTGCGTGCTTTGGCCCGTGCCGGTATGAGAATTGGTCGTATCGAAGATGTGACGCCTATCCCCACCGACTCTACTCGCCGTAAAGCCGGTCGCCGTGGACGTCGTCTATAGAGGTGCTTGGTGTATCTATCTATGTGATTTATACATGCAGTATATATATACGCTGTGTGGGTAAGGATGTGGACAGGTGGCTGATAGAACCCGATTTATTTCGTGGGTGGATTCAGATTTAAAATTAAGTATGGTTCTGTTTGTGCCGGAGTGCGCGTAAATGCCATTCCAGTACCTTGCAGTACGTCAAGTTATTGCTGGAGAATAAAGAAGGTCCGTTGGTAATATACTTTTGTTGTTCTTATCTTGAGCTCTATATCTGAATGTATACATTGTCATATTGCGTCTGGATCTGGGGCCTCTCGTTATTTGTCGCATATTCAGTTCTATTTTACAGGTCAGTTCTACAATTGGCTTGCTGGAATATACGGTAATAAATTAAGTATGTCATGAGACATCTACGTGATATGGGCTATGGCGCCTAGTCCTTTTAGATACACGACAACGAGCCTCAAAGTTAGTGTTTATGGATACGGATCATCCATTGCTCTTGGCCAAACATAATAAAGGAAACGTAGGAAGGACACATGTATTAATGCCGCGAACGGGACCGTTTGAGCAGAGTTACCTCAATATCGTTGTGTTGATCGCCAAATGTACTTAAATACCGCATGATGTACCGACATGGCCAAAGAGTCAGAATTGGACGTTATGTCTATTCGTGAAGCCAATCCTCGATATACAGTGTATATAAGTATCGGGAGATTTATTGTTTGGTACTGTTCGTTCCTCTTGGTGCCATATTACTTGCACCTGAAAGTCTTTTATTCTGTATGTATGCCATTATAATCTTACTGCTGTATTATATACACATACTTATTCGGCCGTGTGCAGCTCAGAAGCATGTACACAATCAATAATTTAAGTAGATGTGAAAATGAGATGTATATTTTAGCTACGCTCGAGTATTTAGCCTCGGGAAACGTGTATACTTTTACCTATATGCTTCTATGCAAATGGTGGCGTGTCTTTGTGTATATGTCGGGAGTGAAGCCGCATCATACATACATAGGCACCAGTATTCGTGGACGTGTGCCTTTTACACCTATTTGGACTCAGTAGTACATATGAGTATGTGTATATATAGATCGTATCGAGATACACATCAATACAAACGTATGCATATCTCAAGTTACGTTGTAGAAGATTATGAGAGTATAGCAGCCATCTTCTCGCTTCTATTCTAAAACATAAACAGAATGCTCCAGGGATTGGGCAAATTTACTGATACGATGACATAACGGTTGGCACTATGTACTTATATACATTTATATATATATATATACTTGTGTACACATACATATAAATATACTTATGTACTCATATAAACTCGTGTGCACATATATATACATATGTAAACATACATATACTTCGGTACACATAATAAAATATTTATGTACACATATATATACTTATGTACACTTATATATACTTATGTACACATATATATACTTATAAACAC